ACTGCCCCCATTTTAGTATCGTCTGCAAATTTGATCAGGAGGCTGTTCACTCCTTCTTCCATGTTGTGGATGAAATGTAGATGAAATTCATTTACCTTGCCATGCCCCCTTCCTAGCCTCTTCTTCCTGAAATCAGAACTTTGACCCGCTGTGACTCCTCAGATATTGTCCAGGGGCCAAAGGATTGCATTCTGGACCTGTTCCTTGTGACCCATAGTGCCATTTCAGGTTTCTTTTGCCTGCTCTTCAATGTTTGGGGAGACAGAGTCAAAGTAAGGGCACTACTTTAATACATTCAAAACTGAGGAAAAGCAAAGGATGGCAGCCAATGGCAGCTTCCCTCCCAAAGTCAAATAGCAGCTGTGTGTGGCTGTGAGGAGGGGATTCATTTAGACTATGGTGCAGTGTGCAAGGGATAATGCTCTGTCCCCATGTTTCACAGACTTAGTCTTGTCCCACCAGCTGTTATTTTTAAATTCAGAAGAAGACACATTGAATGAACAAACACTTTTAATATGGTGTGCATTTTGGTACTCAAAATAGGCACACACAGCAGTTGTGAAAGGGCCTAGCTAAGAATAGACTCAAGAAGGTTCAGTCTCAAACATCTCCAGGGCTGGAACCGACCACTGCCTGAGCCCCTGGGCGGTTGTTGCCAAGCACAAGGTTGGATCCAATGTTGGTCATCCACCAGAGAAGTGGATTTTCCCTTCTCTATGTACCCCATGTGTCCCCCAAAACTGCTCTGGAGGATTGGAAGGCCCTCTGAAGTAGATCTGGACATGAGGGAGGGTCTGTGGCAGGAAGGAGAAGGTAGGAAAGTCCACTTGGATGAAGCTGGATCCAGTTCAGTGTTGACAACACTGAGACTAATGGTTTCACTCACTATAAGGCAACCTCCTGGAACATATGCTAATGTAATTGTTCATAGCAAAGAGTGACTCATGTGCATTGCTCAGAGCTGACCCTGAGGAAGACTCATATGCAGTTAATCTACAATTCTGGAGCCTGAGTCCCAGGACATGATGAAATAAAGACTGGGTTTGCTGAATCCTTTTTTCTCCTGTCTGCAGCTGGGCCCTTCACAAAATGTCACTCCACATGTTTTGACCCATCAGAGCAGTGCTAAAAAATCTAGCTCCCTGCAAAATAAATGAAGAAATGTTATTGGGGCTTTGTAATTTTAGAATGTTTATGGAAGGTAAATGAGTAATTTTGTTGTTATACATTTCTGTTGTTCAACTCAGTCTTGCTTAGTTTGCAAATGAGGAAACAGCAAACACCCAACATGCATGTGAAGTAGGAATGAGCTCACACAAGACTTCTGTTGAAGGGGAGGAGCACACCAGGAGAGCAGTGAGTTCCAGCATGACTTCTTTAAAAAATGTGGTGTCTGAAGGGAATATATAAAAGCCTGATCAAAAGCTGCTGGTATCCTTCAAGATATACAGGAATAAGAATTAATGTTAATTGTTAATGCTCCAGTTGTTTTGTTCATTTTAACTCAGTTATTCAATAGTGTGACACATTTAGGAATATAACATGACAAAAACAATGTTGGGTCAAGACCTAGAAATATTCAGCATAGACTTTTAACGATATTTGGAATTGATCTTTTCAGTCATATCTGACATAAATTTCATTAGTGCCAATAACAGTGGGGTGTATATTCAAGATATACCTCCATGTACAGTGTTCAAAACAAGTATTAATTCAAGCTGACTGTTCAAGTTGACTAAGGAATGAAGAGTGAGTTTTCAGCTATCTGAAGTTCCGCAAGGCTGCTTTGATTTTGCAAGCTTGCAGGATCATAAGACTAGCATGGCATGACAAAGGTCAGCAATATTCACGGTTATTGTTTTTCCTTTGCAGAAATGTTGATGATTTCATTGTTCACATTTGCAGACAAATTATGTGCATTGTAATTATGCTTTCCTGACTAAGCAAAGCCTTTGTTTTAAGTTGCATTCTGGCATGCAACTTGTAAGTTTGTTTGTAACACAATCGCTCCCATTGAAGAATGTGATGTTGCAACTGAAGTTGGTAAATGTATTCTGGGCAGAAATCTACAGTTCAAGTTTCAGTCTTGGCTCAGACTCTGCACCTGTTTTCTAGAGAGGGCAAGAAAAGATTAAAACACACTGCAGTGCAGTAACTCCCTCAAAAATTAGAACATCAGAATGGAAGCCAATGTGCATGTTCAGGGTAGCATTCAACTGACTCCCATGACATATTTTAAGGAAATAGAACAAGAAGCATCACACATTGCAGTGTTTGCAACTGTATGAAAAGGAGTGGCTTGCTGGGAAATGCTGGTGATTGCAGGATTATGTATGTATGTAGGTATGTATGTATGTATGTCTAAATGTGCATAGGAGTGCATCCATGGGCTACAAATCTTCAATTTATATGAAATGCTTTAAAAAGTCAGTAGACTGGATTTTCATGGAATAAGCTGAACTTGGGTTACATTGTTATTAGTCAGTCAAGCTAGTTAAAACCTAGGGCCATTTATTTCCATTCTATCTCATGAAATGTTACAGCACACTTTTCTAAGAGCTGAGAACTAGAAGCATTTTAATTATTATTTTTTTTAAAGGGAGAGTCACATATGGTTCAATTTATAGGGTTACTACTAAACCCATTTTTTACCCTCAAATCCAAAGCAGGAGGGATTTTTAAACAAACAAAAACTAAACTCTCACACATCTCCATTTTTATGGGATACTTTGTCCATTTTGTTCTCATAACTGAGAAAGCTCTCTGTCCAGTTTTCAGTATGGTCACAGTATGCAATACCATCTTTGCACATTTGTGCAAGAATTTCATCCTGTGCATGTTTACTCAGAACTAATTCCCACTAAATTCAGTGGGACTTACTCCCTGGTAAAGGTGTGAAATGCTTGCCGCCTCAGTAGTTCCGTTAGGTGAGTTGTGTGCAAGTGGGGGCTGAGAGGATTTGTGAGTGTTTTTTACAGAGCTTCAGAAACAGCCCATGAGTTTTGGGCTGAGCTTTGTGGGCTGAGCAAATGTGGCCATGCTTGTGCAGAGGGAAAGCTTGTCGGTCTCACACCAGGTGGCGTTGGCTAATGCTAGTAAACAAACAGTCCTGACGTTCTGGAAGCCACACTGGCTCATTTCACACCGTACGTTACAGTGCGCGTCACTTTAAAACGAGAGCGGTTTGAATTTCATGCTCTGCACTAAAATTATCCAGCCCTTAGTTCAAAGCTCTTGGGATCCTTTGCTGCCAAGGCAATGTTCCAGCAAAACATGATTGAATGCGAGTCCCTTGTTTTGCGTAGGGCTCACTTGTGGTACTGTGCGCCGAGTCCCACACTGAAGGCAGCTCCTGAGCTCATACCAACAACTGCAGTGCCCCTGTGCCAGTTCCCTCACTCCGGGTCTAATCCTACCAAATGGTAAGATTCAACTTACCATCTATATTTTCAGTAACTATACTATCTGCACATCAGATATGGATGTGTAATAAAGTGACCATCTCAGTCCACAGTTCCAAAGGACTGTTGATCAGCACACTAAACAGAAGGCTATAGAGGCCAGGATTCTCCTAGGAACTTTCCCTGAGAACATGCTTTTAGTACTATATACCCATCTGCCTGCCTGCCTTTGTCAGCTTGGTACTTAGTTGTGCTGTAATTTCTGTTGGCTGAGAAAACAGGAAAAAGATATTAGCTCAGTTGCTAGACCAAAAGAGTAATCTTTCACTGGGACTCAGGTGTTGCCCATTATTTGGGAGAATTCACCATATTCATTTTACAGAACACTGGATATGGATTTATGCTGGCACAGCAAAATCAACATTTTCCTCTGTCACAGCAGGACTTCAGCCCTGCAGGATAACTGCTATGTTATTTTAATGAACTGCAAGGATAATGGCTTGGGAAGAAGGGTAGGGTCAGAAGTAAAATGGTGACTTGAGCACACACCCAACAACCTACTACACCCCACTGGGCCACCAACTGTCCACAAGTAGAAATCTACCTCCCAGGGATTTGCAGCAGCCAAATTTTTCTTTAATGTGCTTTTGTTGCTGCATTGTAACATTTTGGCAGTCCGGCATGGAGGAAAATGAGAAAGGAAGCAGGGCTATTACACCTGCCCTGTTGAAATACTCTATCGTAGCCCCCCACATACCCATTTTTAATAAGTCGTGCCATTTTAGATTGTAAGCTTGCAGTTAGAAACTGTCTTCTCTTACTTATTGGACATAGGCCACACTGAGAGACATTTTGGCTTGGTAGAAGTGCTTTGATATCAAATCAATCAATCAATCAATAATAAAATGGTTAATAAAGTGGTAATGAAAAAACCTCACTGATCCACAACAAATCATCCAACCATCTACCAGTGGATCTACTTTTACCTTCTACAGCTCTCTGTAGCTATTAGTCCTGATGGCTTTAAGTCACTTCCAAGTTGAAAAAGCTGGTCTCTCAACATCTCCTGCAAAAGCACAGGTGGAGAACAGTTCTTGTTATGTTCAGGTTATGCAATTTGTATAGGTATTTTATCAAAGGTGATGCTTTGATTATGTGATCACTCTGCCAGAGAAATTCAGAGTAATTTATATTGCTTCCAGATGTTGTCACCTTCCATTCGTACCCATCCTACATTTCCCCACCACTTATTTTTTCTTGCCACAAAAAAATTCTGCTAAAAATGAATCACTGTGTGATGCTTTCGACTGGTAGCACTAGAAGCCACCTCTATGGAAGCACACTTAGAAAAGGAAATTTTCTGGTAATTGTGTTTTGGTAGGACCAACAAGGAGCTGTTGTGTTAATGCAGTCCCTCTTTAGCTTTTGGTATATCTTAATAGTGTGTACTCATTGATACCTTATTTGGAAATTCAGCTGCTCTTTGTTCCAAGGATCTGGGGATGTGAGTAAGGCCAGGTGCCTGGAGCAGGAGTGAAGCTAGTGTTGCCTGGGAGAATGAGCTTATGTGGGACAATGAATGATTGTGGAAACCGCAAAGCAAAACCACCACCTTGATTTTATTTCAGAAATTCTGTTTCAATGAAACAATAGTTAGGACAATACAATCAATGCTAACCTGAAAGAATGATACATAAATCCAGTCCTCTTCATGGTTTCTATTTTGATACATCTCTTTATTTAGTCAATGGAACAGAGCTCAGAAATACAACTGTAACTTGATTCACTGACTGAAATAGTACATTTGTAGCTTGTTAAGCTCTCACTGCAGCATTCTAACTCAGGCTTTCCAACCTGGTACCCTCCAGACAGGCCATGCTGGCTGGGGGCACTGGGAGTTGCAATCCAGCCCTTCTGGAGGACACCAGGTTGGGAAAGGCTCATCAAACCACGCTTTAGTCCTACTGGGGCATTCTAATCCTCTTGGGGCATTCTAATCCTCCACGGATTAGAATCGCAAAAGGAAAAGCAGAGACAAGCATACTAGTTCCACAAACTGGAACATAGACTTCTGCAGCAGGAGGCATGTGCAGTTCCGTATTGTGATATCCATGGAAGGTACGATGAATGGTTACAGAGAGGACAGTGCTAGCTCTCATCCCTGCCCACCTTCACATGGTGATATTTGTGTGGGAGATTAGAATGAGGGCTTGTGCAATAAGGCATTCTTCCAGGCTGCACAAAGTAAAACAGCTGGAATTATACTCAGAATGTGTATCATCGTCAAGGTATAGAACAGTCTGCTGTCCTAACAGGCAAGCCATGTATTGTATGACATCTTCCTAAGAACCTCACCATTCCAGGACTTTTAATCACAATTGTTATATCGTGTAGGTTGAATGTTGGGAAAGGGAGTTTCTATTAACATAATGTGCTATGTGTTTGAAAACGTATTGGGAAATAAGGCAAACTTGCCATCGTGCTCAAAATGTGCTGTGCCTTTTAATTGTACCCGATCAAAAGCATTTTGATACCTTTCATACACATCAAAGTAACTTACCAGAGTCTGATCATTTAGGGCGCCACCCTACATGTTTACACAGAAAAACTCATATAATTCCCCTGCCAACATTTCTGTCTAAGCATGCACAGGATTGCATCTTTACTAAACCAACATATGAGGTGCTGCATATTCAGTGGGAAGAGGGCAATACTCAAGGGAAGAACTTGGAGTACAGCTATGATAGTCTATGAACTTTTGTTCCTCACGTTCAGTGTGTGTCCTAATCGTGTCACTACTCCTGTACAACATAGCAAAATATGTTCCTTCCTTTCAAACCTTTTAGTTAACCCTATTTATCTTTCTCCTTCACTTCTGCTCCCTTTTCCATTTCAACCTTTGAATGCTGTTCCTTGACTCCTTCCCTGCCTACAAAAGCTTTCACCACTTCTCCCATTTGTGACAGCCCTCATGAAATCCCCATTTGTGAGTTCCTAGCAGCACTCTGAACAAGCACAAATTCCCGATTCTTCAAAGCTTTCCACGGCCTGTAGCTCACTCCTTGGTCCCAACATATATCAAGTCATGAACTTCTGTCTCCAGCAGCACCAGCCTCAATTGAGGATCTCCTGCTTGCTTCAACAATCCTACCCATTCTCCTTTCTGCCACTTGTAGCTGGAACCCCATTTAAGGACAGTTATCCATTCTTGGCTCTTTCTTTTCTTTTCAACATTTCTCCCCAAATTTATCTTTTCTGCAAAGTCTTCTGCATAACTTCCTAGTATTCATCTACCGATATCAAACTTTTGTGCTTGTGACTAAAGTGAATGCTCATTTCCATTTATTTATTTATTTGTTATTTTTTTATTTAGAAAGCTTCTATGCTGCCCCATTCACCAAAGCCTCGGAGCGGCTCAGATTTATTCTTGCTCTATACCCCCGCCCCCTTCACCCACCATTGCCTGGCATATCACACTTTAAATTTTCAGCTCCTTGGGTAGAGATCTGTTTGCTATTCTGTAAAGTGCAATGCACACCACAGCCACTTATAATAGATAAATAGGTGTGTTGGATTCAAAGGCACTAATAAACACTCAGATTTTTTATCCTGTTGGACAAAGGGCACTAACCATCTTCTCACTGTCCCTTCCATGCCTTTGGTCAGCATGTGACTGGGGAACAGAATCATACCTGATGGCCTCACCTTAAGTCTCTGCAGGTTGTTTAGACGGGGGAAAAAAATGTGTGTGTGTGTGTGTGTTGATGGGCCCTGTATGTGCTTACGATTCCTTGATCACTTGGACAGATGTATGTGCACAGAGGTTCCTCCACATTTCTACTGAGCACCTGGAGAATGTAAGGCCTGGCAGCAAGCCACTTCCCAATCCTATGTAGACTAAATACATGGAAGAAGAGGAGAGAACAGGGCTTCTGAAGATCTGCCTCACCATTTAGTGGAGTGTAATTCTTATTCCATACTAAATGAGCAATGTCTGCTCTTTTAATATGTCATTTTTTTCCTAGCTGGGAAAGGGTTTGCTGTAAGTCTTCAGTTCTATAGATGCACTGAAGAGTACACAGAGCTTCCCACCCATATAAGGGCTTTCCCTTTAACTTATTTAAACTCGACTTTCTAAGAAAAATTCAAACTCGAGATGCATTGCATGTAAAAAGTTAAAAATCAGCACAAAATTAACAAGTTTAACAAGAAAACAAAACAGATAAGTAGCAGCAGACTTGTGGAAAAAGAAGCTTAAGTTGCTGGCTCAGGGAGGCTATGTGTTTAGGCTTACGTTTCAAATTCACGAGCTACCTTGAGAAATAGAATTTCTTTGCTAAAGGATGGTTGCAGGGATATTGTGAGATTCAGGGATATGGAAGTACTTGTTTTTGACCCAATTCAACATGATTAACCTTAGGTTGTTTGCAAGTGTGCAGGAACAAGGAAATATGCTGGCTTCAGTCCACTCCTGCTTTAAAAAACCACCCAGGAATTCCTCATTGCTGAGTGGCTTGTTGTGATGTCCAAACCCAAAATCCTGGGTTGCTGGAGGAAAAATAACCTAGAATTTTAACTCAGCAACAAACCTTGCATTTAAATTCTGCATTGTTTTTCCCTTAGCAACCCAGAGCTCCAGATTCAGATATCACAATGAACAACCCAGGAATAGGTCATTCTTAAACAATCTATAGGTTGCTTAATCATCCCGGATGGGGTCAGCCTGCCCCCTCACAGCTAGCAAGAGATTTGACTCCTGTCCAAATAATTGGTTGCCAGGTGGCTCACAAATGTCAGAAAGTCAGTTGTTTTGGTACTTACACTTAGCAGCAGCATTGAGAAGTTGTTGAAGGGTCTTCAACATTGCTCTCAGTTCTGTAAAGAAAATCTGAAGCCCACTCAGGGCTGAAAGAAACAACAATAACCAGGAGCCCTCTTCAGGGCTGTGCTGGTACTGAGTCTGCCACTTTTTATTCTAGTTCAAACTCAAATAAAGAATATCTTGGGCTAGGATAAATAAGAGGAATTTACAAGAACACTAAAGAAGCCTCAAGGGTCGCTTAAGGCCTGGCCCTGCCTGGCTCTACTGCTTAACATTTCTTCACATAGATTAAAGCAGGTAGGGCTACTGGAAAGGACAGAAATCACACCTAATACAATAGGGATTATTCATGGAAAGCACCCATAATCTGAACCCCAGAAAACTTCCCTGCATTGAAAACTTTTTGCTCCATCCCTGAAGCCTAAACCTGCTAATCATGACAATAACCTTCACTAGCCTACGTTTTCCATTCTCTGGGAGCAACATACCTAGTAACAAATGCGTATCATAGCAATTCTTTTGTGCCAAGACAACTGGGTTTTGTGTGGTTGCGTGTGTCATTACTGTAATCTATTACAGGCCACCTTGAAGTGTTTTTCTGTTAAAAAAACACTCTGCTAAGTAAATAAAATAATAAATAAAAGCAGTAGTAAATAGAAGAACACTTCGCTATCTTTCCTTTTCCCGGTAACACAGAAGCTAATATGTTAACATAGTTATCATAGGTTTTGAGGAAAGAAGAGAAGATGGTTAACAAAACAATCCTATGTGTGTTTAGGCAGAAAAAAGTACCAAAAAACCCTCCTTCTGTGCCTCCTGCCAGGCATACTGGCTAGGATATTCTGGGAACTGTAGAACTTTATTTTGTCTAAGCAGACATAGGATTACATCCTAACGCTCTAATAGCTTCCAGAAGAGTAAGGAAATCATTAAGAGGCAATCAATTAAAGTGCCACTTCGTGGTAACAGCTTATCTTGTGCATGTAATATAGCCCACTCAGATCTCCAGAATTAACAAACATACATCAGATTTTGATATACTTTTTGGCACACCATAAACCTTTAGGAAAATATAAGTACGTTCTTCCATAAAGCATTACATCTAAAACAAATGTTTGTGAACAGTAAGCCTCTGATAAATGTAGACTATGAGGACAATGTTAGACTGAGACACCAAAGGAGAGATGTTTTTCTCTTTTTCTGGTCAGTTAAATGTCCCATTCCTCAAATCCACAATTCTGCAAAGTGCAATGATCATGTTAGATACCAGTAGTTGATTATTTATGATAATCTAAATTATATATCTATATACCCATATTGTTTACATGTAGAAGCCAAGGTTTGCCATCAGCATTCATCTCTCATCTTTTTTGCTTGAGCTGTCTGGCAGGTGCTGGGGGGGATGAATACAGATGGATCGCTTATCCCGAGTTTTAGATCAAAGAAACGGGTGGAAGTTGTCACACTGTAGTTCTTCGTGTAGGTTTCCTGAACTGGGTAACAGTCCTTGACTGTGTAAACTCCCACCCAGTTTTCAACTGTAATAAAGCACAAAATATTAATGTTTTAATTGGGAAGGCTTAAATAATTTTCAAGTGTTGCCACTGTTTTCAACTTGAGGATTGAGGTCAAAAAGGATATTGATACTTAATTTAAATTTAACCAGTCTTTCAGCTTAACCAATGTTGATACAGTATTTTTAGGTCATTAAGCAAGGATGCCCATTTACAGTAAGATACTGGTACAGCAATGGAAGAGAGGCAATTGTATCTCTAAGTAACATACAAATACACCCAGAGTACTTTCTTACAAATGCGGATGGTATTTGAATCTAACTGTGAAATTTGCAGGTTAAGGTTCCAATGCTATGCTCACATCTAGGGGTAATTCCTACTAGGTATCTTGGGATTTATGTCTCAGTAAAGATACGTAAGATTGAGCTACATCAGGAATGGATAGCTGTGGGAGGTCATTTATATTTCCTGATCCCCTCCTTTCTATTGCCTTCACAATAGGAAAAATACCAGTACTTTAAAATCGGTTTGTACTCTTTTAAAAAATCAAAATCTGTGAGCAGCAGATCCTCATATACCCCCTGAGCTGCATGTTGCCCACTCCTGGGCTACACAAGCCTAATAAAAAGAGCAGCCTTGCTGGACCAGACTAGTAGCTAAAGTGACGCCTCTGAAATGTCCAAAAGCAGGGCCTGAAAACAGGAGGCCTCCAGCATCTAGTAACTGGTATTTAGGGTCATACTGTCTCTGCACACAGTAGTCCTGTGTCAACAGCCACGGACAGACGTATCAGCTATGAACTTGTCTAGTCATTTTTTAAAGTCATCCAACCCAAAGGACATCCCCACATCCTGTGGTTGTAACCTCCATACATCATTTTACAAGAACATAAAAAGATCTCTGCTGGATGAGACCAAAGACTGATATAGTCCCATATTGTTCCCATAGAAGTCAACCAGCTGCCTGTGAACAGCCACAAGTAGGACATGAGTGCCATGGCATCTTCCTGCTTGTTTCCCAAGCAACTGGTATATGTAGGCATACTGACTCTGATACTGATACTGGAGGCAACATGAAGCTATCATGACTAACAGTGTGCACTGTGCAAGGAAGGACTTTCTTTTGTCTCTTTGGAATGTACTGTCAATTAAGTCCAATGGGTGACCCCTGAGTTACAGCATTAGAGGAAACTCTATCCACACCTTGCCCAGTTTTGTAAATTTTGATCATATATTCACTCAGGCTGCAATCCTGCACTAAGTATCCTGGGAATAAGCCCCAGTGAAATCAGTGGGACTTGCTTTAGGTAGATATGTCTAGGAATGGGTTGCCCATTGCCGTAATTTCAAAACTAAATAAGCGTCCAACTCAGAAGGCTGGAGGGGCAGCCAGTGTTACTCCTTCTATGGGTAACCAGGCACAGTAATGATTCATTTTTTAAAATTAAGATGTAGAAACCAAGTAAAAAGCCCAGGCTGTGTTTATAAATCCACATTACTTATTTTCTTGGGTGAAAAGGGAACCAAAATAGTATTTCTTGTATATGTTTTTCAGAAATAACGTTGGTAAAGTTAATGTGGGTGTAGTGTATCTGGTTTGGGGTAAAGAGATCCTTACAAAAAAAATCAAACAATAAATGCTTACGTTTCCTAGCTGGTTTTCTGTCAGACCATTCCTGCACCATAATTTGGTCACCGGGTCCTCCAATGTAGTACTGATCTTCATAGGTTGAGTTGACAGGAATATCAAAAGGATCCCACGGCTCACTCAAAACAACCTTGGAACACAGCTTGGTCACTTGTTCAATCTGAAACATGACTGCATCTTTATAGAGGTATATATATTCAAAAAATCTGAAAAAAGATGGGCAGGCGCAGAATTAATATCAATGAAAAGCTTGTTTGTAGCACACTAGTGACATATAAGGCATGTCTACCTCATAGGCTTAAACTGGGTCAAGGGAATCCTGCGAACTGTAGTTCTATGAAGGCAACCATAGATTTTAAGGAATAAGTCTCAGCACTGTCAGTGCCATCAACCTACAAGTCCCAGGATTTGTGGGAGAATCCATGGTTATTAAACTGGTATAAAAGTGGTATGAATTTGTTGTGGAGTTATGCCTTGGTGTGATCTGGGAGCTACTAGGCAAGACATGGGCACAGCAGACCTGGTTTTGTTTTGTTTTTGCTAAATAATAGCCAACTGCCACGTCTCTTGGCCTCAATTTTTCCATCTGTGGATTGGATAAGTCAGGCATTGTGGTCAGAAAATTGCAAACTGGAGGCTATGATGTAAGTGTACATCCTCCAATACATGGTTGGCTGAGCTATAGTAAAATATAGGTACGCATTGAAATATGACAGTCTGGGCATGCAGTAAACCACAGAGCCAATCTACACATTGTGCAGAACACATTGGTAGAACGAGGTGGATAGAACTCCAGGCACTTCCTTGTCATTCTGTAAGTGTATGTCAAACATTGTACCATGTCCAAAGCTCCTTGCATGTAGAAAGCAGGCATTACAGGGAGTGGGCTAGGCTAACATTTTCTGTATGATATGCAAAGAACAAACTAGAACTTATGAGGACAGTACAGGATTGAAAACTCTTGATTCTCCATTGTAATGCTAAAACAGGGAAAGGGAGAACTGGAAATAATCCTTTCAACCTCACTCATTCTTTGCACACGCTGCCTCTCCCCAAAAAGCTGGATATGCTTTTATCCCAGCCCCCTCCAAACAGGGCTCCAAAACCAGAAGCCTGGCTAATGGAAAACACAACAGCTTTGGTTTGCAGGTGAGAAGCAGTGAATACAAAGGGATTAAACACACCTCAACCCATCAGTCCTTCTTTAAAAGTGTACACAGTCTCACTTACCTTGACAAACTTGATGTTGGGACCACACATTTGCTAACATAATTTCTAATTCGACCCCTTATAAATTGCATATAGTTGATGCTTTAAAAAACATTTTAATATTAAAAATGCAGAATTCTAGCAGCTGTCAGATGCTTCTCTGATTTCTGCTCCATCAGGCTACAGGACAGCAGTGCAGAGTAGGTCAGGTTTTGCAACTTCCTGCAGCCCATGGAGCAGCAACTGGGAAAGCCTCCCCCATCCTTCCCAGTGCACTACAGAGCATGTACCCTGTTAGCACAACAGGGACAAAGAAGATTTTTTTTTAAATCCCCATTGTACAAATAGGACTTGAGCCATGAAATGCTGCATCAGCCAAGTCAGGTAGGGAGCTGTCCGCTGCAAGGGGGACTCACTATCAACTGACACAATGGGGAGCCAAAATCACTGCAGCCTCATATCCAGTTGTCATTTTTATTGCAAAATGAATAAGAAATGACATAAAAATAAGGAAGGTCTAGAAGCCATGTGACCACCATCAAAGCTGTCTGTTGGCATATCAGTGCCTGTAAGCACCACACTGGAGACTCCAGAGCTAGAAGGTATAAAATACCCAAAGACCCAAGCTAGGGACATAAGCAGACACAAGGTGGCCAGGTGGGAAAATCTTGCAGATCAAAGGAGCTACGGTCCTGAACACTGCGGCAACACAACCCAGGGAATAACCAAAGAAGTTACTGCTGATATCAGCCTAAATGCAACCAGTGATTTGAGGAACCAACAAAGGCCTAGGTGGCTCTCAACAACTGCTTTTATGAGCAAAGTATCCTACTGCATAGCCATATTCTCCTGTCCCTTCACATTTAATCCAGCACTTGACCCCCAGGCAATCTTTTGACTGTATCTTTTGTATCTCTAGCTCTCTGGACCACATGGTGATGTGCTCGAAACTGAACACCCAGCCCATCTCAGAGCTTGGCCAAGGCTTGACAAAAAGAAAAAAGGAAAGTATTGGATCCTTTTTGCCAGTGTGCTGGAAATGACAGGCAGTTATCCCTCCCAATCTTTCTGCTTTATTTAGAGGATAACTTTCTCTTTGTCATCTTGGAGTTCTCACTCAAGAGCCATCTTGATGATGGGAGGAAAGCATCAGAACAGCCTGGTGAGCTGCATGCTGGTTCACTCCCAGCACTCCAACCAAGGTGCTCCATCACCCACAATTGTCACCAGCCTGAGGGAAGGAGAAACCCAGCTTTCAAAAGTGGCTTTTCCCTGATGCCTCTTAAGCTGTTTTATTGTATCACTGTTATCATACAATCATTGTTCTTTCTACCCATGTAAACCATTTTGTGATGTTCATCAGAAAAGTGGTTGATTACTAACTTAAAATGAATGAATACTGCTTCCAAACAGATTCATAAACCACTGGTGCCAAAATTCAACAACTTCCATTACTATTGTAGTGACTAAAATATGTATTTCTATTTTTTTTTTAACCAAACCAAACTATCTTGCTTTAATTGTACTAAGGAAATGGGTGTGGCTAAAGCAGACCTGACTCATTTATTTTGCACCCAAGGACAGGTTTGAGAAATAACAAGCAAGGGAGATGCAACCAGTAAATAATATTGGTTTAAAAATATAGTCACCATTAAAACCTTTCTATTGCTCAGCAAATGGTCATCGGACGTGCTGAACATGTTTAGACAACCCACACAGATTTTGAAACATGCTTTTATACTTTCCTGGCTGACATGAATGCAAACAGAAGTAAGGTAAGTCCTTCCTGAAAATCTGACTCATATGTTGTACAGAGGCCATTTTAAGCTTCAGTTGTAAGAGGTGGAGAAGATAAGGTGGGCATAATGAAAAGAAACATTTACAGATCTGGCTGTGGATTAGTCAACTAAAAAAGCAGTGTATTTTTAAGCTGATGTTTTGTCTATCATATTTCCTAAAAAGAGGGGTAAAATGCCTCCTTTCTCTCCCTAATTAGTCCCCTGCATTTAGGCTAAGGATTGAAAAAAGAACAGTCATTCTTTTTGATCTTTTGAATCATCATGCACATTTAATTAATAGAGATTAATTTCACAGACACAAAATAAATAGCCACACAGCCTGATCCTGAGAAGATTTAGGCTCCTCTATTGGGGCTTGCTTCTGAGTGAGTGTGTTTAGTACGACAGCCCGCCAGTACAATCCTGTATGTATCTTCTCGTAAGTACAGCCCCTTAAATTCACTGGGGCTAACTCTCAAAGGATAAGACTGCAGTCTTAGACAATGTTCTTTGTCATGGGAGAAGTAAGCATGTTCAATTACACATCCAGGAAATATTACGCTGAAAACACAAGTAACCCATTCTACAACTGCTTGCTACATGCCCCACACAAGGCACAAGACATCTTGCCATTCAATACCTCTCCCATAATGTATGCATGTAAAGCACCCTTCATGGTCTTCTGCTTCAATCAGGAGAAGGCCATATTGGCAGGTTCTGGAAAAAGTGGTGGAAGCACCATTGCTTAGATGCCCATAGCATGCTGCTGCCTTCAAGTCAACCTAAGGAATATACAGTATGAAGAGTTGAAGAATTAAGAGAGTTATGGAGTGGGAGAAATTGGGAATGCAGAATTAACTCCAGGCATGAGAGATAGGCCAGGAGTATGCCACTGTCTATTCCTGTCCAACCTGAAACAAGGGGCGGTGGGGGGAGACCAACAACACAATGTTGCACTGTGTGGAGTGCTTCTGTTCAGCCCTTCCATTTCATACCCATCCCCATTGATTTTTCTTCCCCTAAAACAGCCAGGTGGCATTCCAAGCACTGCGTATTTCTGATTTTTTTCTTCCATTTGGGGATATTTTAGGGAATGAGATGAGCTTAATTCCAATCTTGGACTGTTTTCAGGGGACATTTTAAATAACTCTTCATATGAATCAGGAAATGACCCATTCAAACAATGAGATGGTTCTTTCTATACTTTTTAGATCCATGAATGAAAGGCAATGAAATAGCTGCACTAATGGAACTAGTTCTACCAACAGTAGGGGCATGTAGGGGCATGGGGGCTGCATGCAAGAAGGGAGAAGAAAAAAGCATCATCTCACAAGCTGACTTCTGTTTGCACAATGTTCACCTCTGCCATATGTCTTCCTCTCTCCTCCATTCCATCTCCCACTGAACTCAGTCTGACAACATTCTGTGCCACTGTATCTTTACTGGGATGTTCTAGGTGTTTTCTTCTGCCTTGTCTCCCCCCACCCTCTGCCTATGTTCTTAGTGCCTGGTTTATCCCACACTGGACCATTATGGTGACAGTCCTCCAGCCACAGGAACACTTGAACTAGTAACAGAGAGAAGAAGTGAGGCCTGAAACTTATTTGTTGTCATGCAGAGTCCTTCTCTTCAGGTTTTCGGTCACTCCGTTCCATTCTCCCTCTAACCCTGTTTTCCCCTTTTCTCTCTCCAATGGGCTGGGTTCAAGCAACAAAATAATACACATTCAAGGGTTGTGTATAGGTTGAGAGTGGGTTGTCATACACTCAACCCACACATATGGGAAATATGGAATATTATGCTGTCTGAACCAGGCCATGTTAACAAAACCATTCACAACCCAAGAACAAACCATGGGTTCTTTTCCGAGGCTGTTTGTGGTTAACAATCCAAGGTTTCTTATCTCAGTTGGATTCGGACAACATAACCTTTATTTCAACAACAATCCACAGTTCAATGACAACTGACACTCAAATTCAATCTATATTCAATCCCTAAATGTGGATATGGATTACCATGCTATTTGAATCATCCCAGTCACTATTTATTTTATTTACAGTATTTTTATCCTGTCCTTAACAATGTCTCACTATGATGATACTGTCTACCTTTTTAAATTTCTGGATGTGTCTTCTTTTGTCCTCCTGCAGCCAATAATTCTGTTCATCTCTCAGCCTGTTTTTATTCTTCTGCCTCCATAGCAACTCCATTTCATTGTC